GGGGGGGGGGGGTGCTGGAGGAATGCCTGGAAGGGGAGGGGTACCCCTGGCATGGCAGGAATGTCTGGGCTCAATGAGGTTCTTAGTGATCCAGAGGTTCTTGCCACCACCACAGGATCCAGAAGTTCCGGTGGCGTTCCAGACTGTGGCCCAAAACCCAACAAAAATGTCAAACTATCACAGTAAGCCTAAGGTTATGGATCTCATCAGTAAATTGTCAGCCAAACTTGGAGCTCAAGCATAATGCTCGTTTGACAAATAAAGCCCTTGATGAGGGGGAAAAAGAAAGAAGAAAATTTGGGGTTCTGCCACATAAAACTTTAAGAAGGGGAAATGCTATGAATTCTGATTACTTCACAAGAAACTTGGCCCTCAAATGTATCACTGCTGTAATCACAATCACTCCAGAGCTCAAAGAACCAAGGGGACAAAGCCTATGTCACCGACCAACTCCACAGTGAATCCCCATTTGTTAGGGCTGCTCCTATAAGAACACAAAACCCACAAGGAAAACGATGAGCACTGGAGAGAGGCCTTCAGCCCAGATCTGCATTTACCTGAAAGTGTAGTTCCCAGGGACAAGTTTACTTAGTTTTAATATGGCTGTATCTTCAGAAATCTTCTCTTCCCTCAGAGGTCCCTTAAGTTCCTCCCAGTGGTACTGGACGATTTTATCATCATCGGTGCTTTCTTGACCAAAAGGAAACATCAGTTATAGCATGAGCGTACTGGATCTCAGTACTTACTCTGTTTACACAGAGAAGGGCAACCACACAGACATTTGAGGCTAGGCAAACTTCATGAAGTTATAGGCTATCTCTCCAGAGTGTCTTTTCCCTTAGAATGTTGGGTCATCCTGCTCCTCTATGAATATTCCACTGCGTGGTTCCCTAAGGACTCCAACACAGGCAATCTCTGGTTAAAATGCTACAGCATCAAAAGAATGAAAATCAATCACTCTTCAACGCATGAAAAGATACTCCATTTCATTTAAAAGAAATATAAATGAGAACAATTTAATTGGTAAAGATCGAAGTTGAATAACAGATAGACAGATAATGGTAGAGAGTAATAGCCACGTGCTTATAAGTCACGACAGAAGCATAAATTTACACAACCTCTCTAAAGAGCAACTTGGCCATCTTGATAAAATTTTAAAATGCACATGCCCTGTGCCTTGCAGTATCCTATTCTAGGGATTGATCCTACAAATGCACTTGCACATATGTAAAGTGTCAGGTGTGCAAGATTATTCATGGTAGCATCATTTGTAATAGCAAAAGACTTCAAGTAAACAAAATGGTCACCAACAGAAATTGAAAACGAAGTACATGTGATGTACATTCATATCATGGAATGCTATGCAACTGTTAAAGAATGTATGAATGAATGAAAGAGTATTTCATGTGTTAATTCAGAAAAGCAAGCAACATGTGAATAAGGAGGATTTTTTTAAAAGGAGGAGGAGGAGGATAAAAAATATATCATATTGTCTATGTATGCATGAAACATCTCTGGAAGAAAACAGAACCAATAAGTCCATTGGTTCTCTGTAGGAAAACTGGGTAGCTGGGAAGACAGGTCTGGCAGTGATTATTTTCATTTATTTATTATTTGATCTCTACATATTATTTAACTTTGACCTATTCAGAAAAGCAAAATATAATGGTACTTTGTGAGCCCTTGCTACCATCCTCTTACACAAATGCCCTTTCCTGTTCTTTTTCTTCACTCTTGGCCTCCTATTCTTCTAACTTCCTCTTTGCTTAACTTTGCTCAAGATTCCTCCACTAACGCAGTGACTGCCTATGCCAAAACCCAAAAGCTACTGGGTGCCAAGACAGCTAGGGTAACTGAGCCCTTATGAGTCTCAAAGACATCAGGCAAACACTAATGAGATAAGAGGCCTAAAATCTGCACACACTAGCAGGATCGATGGCAAAAGTTAAAAAATCCTCTCCTGTAAGGTGCTCAAGCAGTGGATGGAGTTCCTTCTGTGGAATCTCTGGGTTCTAGAAGGTTGACAAGAATCTTGTTAGTAGTGATGGCTAGTGAGAGTTCCTCACTCAGGCTAGGACAGAAAGGAGCTTTATTTATATGTAACTGAGAAAGGCAATTTCATGAAAGCAAATCTGAAGACCAATGAGCTTCAACTAAAATAATGTTAAATACATGTACAATCCCAGGACTATTGCTTGAAACCAGTCACACTGGGGATTTTTTAATAGGCTAGATGGTTGGTCTTCCCATAGCATCATTAAAAATGGCCTAAACAGAATGCAGACATAGCTGGCCTCAAATCTTCCACCAGAGTTTTTCCATCACAATACTCAGTGAGTGTTCTTTGCAGCAGCATGCTTGGACAAGTACTCACGGCTGCCATCGATGACTGTGGAAGTGGTTGGCAGGGAGATTTTCTGAAACTGTGGTGACACAATGGCAACAGGAGGCCGGTTCTTACGGGGCTCTGCAAGAAAGTGATACAGAAGAAATTAGGAGAGGGGCTCTATAAAGTACAGGAATAAACAAACCACATCTATGTAGATTAATACCAGTTTCCGTAACATAACTAATGATTGAACCATCACCAAATGGGAAATTTGCAAGATCAAGTTTTCCTTCCAATTTAAGACACTTATATAAACGTATACTTTTCCAAACCTAACCATTCCTAAGACCGTGCTCTATGTATTTTTCAATGCTCATGGAATAGCTACTCTACGGAAAGTACTATAGCAAGTGACTGCTTTGGGGCAAACCTAACCAGAGGTGGACAAGCGAGAAGCTGTGTGCAATAAAGACAACAGAAAGAAAGCCGCTCCTTGGCACAGAGTGTACTGACAAGGCAATGAGTGATTTCTCAACCAGCCTTGAACTGTGTGTGAAGGAAAGGTCACAGACTACTCTGGTCTACTCGAATGACCTCAGCAGCCTTTTCTTTAAGAAATGATCAACTGGTGTTTAAGTGGATCACATTTTTAAGAGGGTGAAAACATGACTTTCCAATGAACTTTTGTTTTACTCTATCAGCAAAGACAAAAGATAGTATTAAGAATCTGGGCCAGTGACAATGTACCACTCTGCAACGTCCCCAAATTTCTCTGAAAAATACAAAACAGGATCCCTTACTTTTGCACTGAGATCTACCAACAACAGATCATTCTAAATGCGTGATACCATTTTGTTTTCAGAATGAAGGCACATTGGTGGAGTTTAGATGAGGGACTCTGTACAAAGACCACATCTCTGGAAAGGGGGAGAAAGAGTCAACCACTTGGCTGGTTCTCTGTCTACATGCTTTTCGTAGGCTCCTGACTTCATTGGGTTTATATATTATAATACAAACATGGTCCCCTCTCAGCATGACCCCCTTGGAAAAGTGGTTCTCTGGGTGATAGCTCAGGTGATTCTGTACTCAGGCCATGTGACTAATGTTTCCCTGCTTAGCCCAGTGCACCAACCAGAACCAAAGAATTACCTTTGCCACTCCTAACTTTTCATTCTATTGAACTAGGAACTATCCAATAAATATATTACCGAAAAAGAGAGTGGGAGGGACTTCAAATTACATCTCTATTTCCTTGGGAATCTTATAGAGGAAACAATAAGGTTACTTCCAGGACAGGGAAACATACCTGGCTTTACTGTCACATTCACATAGCCTTCACCATGGGCATTTTGACCATCTACAATCACTTTGAATTCATACAGCCCTTGAGTGAGCTGCAGAAATGAAAGAAGATCTTTCAGAGGAGGACAAAAGAGCAGCCATTATATTTAAAATACATATATAAAAGTATATGAACTTTCCCAGGCTGAATCTCAATCTTCTTTTACTGCTTCCCAAATGAACAAAGTAAACTAGCTGAAGAGATAAAACAATGGATTATACACCAAAAAAAACAGTTTTTAAAATATGAATCCTATTACCAGCTGACTCTAGAAAAACAGAAGGGGTTTTAGTATCTCCATACTCCAATTTTCTTTTCAGAAGAACATTAAGGGCCTCTAACCATTCTACTGCTCAGAGTTATGAAATTAAAATAATCATCCCTGCAAAGAAAAACAGTTTGTAAACACATGAAATAGCTCCCAAATAGCTGAATATTTTCCCCTTTAGATTTCTAACTGCAAGAAACATAAGAGGAAAAAACAATAAAGTTATCCAAAATCCCTCTAGGCTTACATACAACAACATATTCCCTTATTTCCTTCCAAACCTTGACCACATACAAAAAAAATAATTTTAAGTGTTCATTCAACAAACCATTAAAAAGAACCATTACCCAATTATTGTCCTACAGATAAATAAGTTAATATTCCTGCCTTCAAGAGCTCATATTTCAATGGCAATTAGGGTCTCGCTAAAATCAAGTTATGTATCAAACTTTGTATTGTGCTTTCTTTCATTCGTTTAGCATGAACACGTTCCCGAATTATATTTGAATGGCTGCAGAACAGTACATGAACAAATATGCCACGCTTCACATAAGCATGCACACCGTTGGGTTTTGGGGTTGTTCCAAATGTTTACTATAAATAATGTTGTGATGAACATCTTTCACACTAATGGTGGCTTTTATTTTCAATTATGTTCTCTATATACCGTATAAACTCGTGTATAAGCCAAGTTTTTCAACACATTTTTTATGCCATTTTTGTGACAAAATTAGATGCCTCGGCTGATATTTGGGCCAGCTTATGCTCGAGTATGTGCGGTAAGTGCTCATTGATCTCTTTGGCCCATGGCTTTTGTGAATATTTCCTCCTTCTTGTCATGTTCTCCCTCCTTGGCTTTCACGTCTCTGCTCACTCCTCATTTCCTTCTGAATCCTCTCCCTTTCATCCATGACATAACAGTGTTTCCCCGTATCCCAACCTCAATTCGTTTATCTCTTCATTGTCTGTACTCTTCCCGGTTGATCTTTAATAATTCTTTGCCTACAGTTATTATCTACTTGAGGATAGAGTGTAAATTTACCTTTCTAGACCAAACATGTGCCTGGATGCCTAACCCCTTATGTCTTAATTCTTGGAGACACCCAGTAAAATGTCTCATAATCCAAATCCACTGTATCAAAAAATAATCATCTTATTCCCTAAATCTGCTTCTGTGTGCTCCTCACTTCGGTGGCTATCACTAAATGTCAACAGCATCCACCCACATACCCAAGCCACAAAGCTTTTTAGGAATTATCCTAAACTCCTCCTCTCCGAGATGGTCAAGTAGACCTCCACTATATGTTCAAGGCCACGCATTTACCCTCCTTCCTGCTGCCTTCACTGTGGTTCTGAATCGCTCGACACAGCGCATTAGTCAAAGCATGACTTGAGAGATGGGAAAAACAACAACAAAAAACCCATTGAGAACTGTGTGTGACCTCCTCCCTGGGGACAGACAACCGAAAAGTGGATGAAGGGAGACGTCGAACAGGGCAAGAAATGACAAAATACCCATATATAAACTATCAAGGGCTCATGCGGGAGGGGGGAGCGGGGAGGGAGGGGAAAAATGAGGACCTAATGTCGGGGGTTTAAATGGAGAGAAAATGTTTTGAGAAACGATGTACAAATGCGCTTTACACAATTGATGTGTGTATGGAGTGGGATAACAGTTGTATAAGCCCCTAATAAAATGTTAAAAAAAAAAAAAATAAAAACTGATTATGGCAAAAAAAAATAAACCCATTGAATCAATTTTGACTCCTAACAACTATATAAGTTATGAGTCTTTGTAGAAGCAGAACTGCCATCTTTCTTCCATGGAGTGGCTGGTGGGTTCAAACCACCAATCTTTCTGTTAGCAGCCAAATTCTTTAACCATGATGCAATCACAGCTCCAATTCAAAACTCCCGTTTAGAGGTACAGCAAAAACAAAACAAAAAACCAACAAACTACCTCTTAATAGCTTTGTAGGCTTTAGTCGAATCACTTTATTTTTCTAATTTGTAGTCTTGTAATTTTAAAACAGGCATTAATACTTACGTCTTGCGATGGTACAATTGAGCCAATGAATTAATTCTGGAAGACAATTAGCACTGTATCTAACACAAGGTATGAGTTCAACAGGTAGTTTAAAATTATTGTTTTTACCATGACCCCAGTGCTACTTCGGAGTTCAGACTGGAGCGGAACATGTGCACAGGTCTAGAAAGAATGGGAGCTCACGACACACAGAATCCAGGAACAGGAGTGGGAACAGTGATACCAGAAGGGTAGGGGAAGTGGGGAGAAGAAGGGACAAAGGGGGAAACCGATCACAATGACCGACACATAACCATACACCCCTCTCCAGGGGGAAGAACAACAGAAAACATGGAAGGGAGACCGTGGTCGGTGTGAGAGATGGAAATAATAATGTATCATCTATCAGAGGGTTATGAGGGTAGAGGGGGAGAAAAAAAAAGAGCTGGTACCGAGGGTGCAATAGAAATTAAATGTCTAGAAGAGAATGAGGCAACATATGTGCAAACATGCCTGATTCAATTGATGTATGGATTGGGCTAAGAATTGTACAAGCCCCCAATAAAATGAATTTTAAAAAAGGGCAAAAAAATTATTATATTCATTGAGTTTTTCAGTTTTTATTTCAACAGATTTCTCATTGGTCTCCTGATTTTTAATCTTTTATCTCCTTCAATCTGCATTCAGGGTGATCTAAATCATAAATTTACATAGTCATGTGGTCAAAAATAACCAACTTATCTCCCAAATTCTAAAATCCTTGCTACCCTTAAAAGCTGGTAGGTATACAATTATTTCACATATCACCACCAGGCTGGTACAATCTTCTCACCATAAATAAAATTCTGAGAATCATACACTAACAAATATTGGATGTCAGCCACACTTTTGAAGGATTCACTGCTGAAGGATTATTGCACAAAAATTCTAAGATAGCATATATTGTAGAAAAGTGGCCAGTGCTTCTACCCCAGCCCTGCAAGTGAAAGGAGGCAGATTCACCTTGGATAATTTGAGGATCTGGGAGTGTTTCCCTTCCATTTCTCCACTGTAGTCTCTAGGATGAGTAATCAGCTGCCAGTTGAAGGTGTAGGTTTCTCCTAAAGAAGGGCAGTTACAAAAATCATGACAACACACACCTACACACAAAGGGGGCAGCCACACAGCCTGCCAATAACGAGTCACTTCTAAATCTTGACAAGGCCTTCGTTTTTAAGGTTTTACCGTACAGCCTTTAAGGAAAGCAAGTCATTTTCTGAGGGGAGGAGTAGGGCATGGGATATAGATTCTGCTGATTCAAGGACAATTAAGGCTTCTTCGATTCTCTCCCAGCAATGTCATTCCGGCCCCATATCTAGCTTCTCCGGGGCCAATCCGCCCTAAAAAATACCAGGTTGCTCATGATGTGGCATCCCAGTGAAAATACATGCCCTACCAACCACTATAGATGAACTCATTGGGAACAAAGGCCATTTTCTTACAAAACTTCTTCTGCAACAAAGAACAGCAATGACTTCTAAATAACATGGTTCAAAAATAGCTTTTTACAGAGTGCTAACAATGCTTGTCTCACTGAGGTCATCACACCCTGGTGAGTTAAAAGAGCTACTTCATTCCTGCTGAGCTAAATAACACACTGAGGAAGATGGTAGGGAATGGCCCATTTAAAACAGGCCCCACTAAAATTAATTAAGATCAAATGAAGCATTAAATGGTCCTCATTTGTAGCTCAGACTGTATCAGTGGGTAGACTGCTGTTGTGCTGTTGGGTGCCAGAGGCAGTTCCAACTCATAGTGACCCTATGCTCTGCAGGAAAAAACACTGCCCAGGCTTGTACCAGCCTCACAATCATTGCCATATTTTGAGCCCACTGTTGGAACCACTGTGTCAATCTGTCTCTCTGAGGGTCTTCTTTTTCACTGACCTTCCTCTACTTTACCAAGCACGCTGGTCTTCTCCAGGGATCGTCCTGATAACAATTCCAAAATACATACAACAGAATCTCACTATCCTCACTTCCAAGGACCATCATGGCTGTAGTCCTTCCAAGACAGATTTGTCTGTTCTTCCAGCAGTCCGTGGTACCTCCAATAGTATTCAACAACACCGTAATCCAAATGCATTACTTCTTATTCCTGTATTCCTCATTCACTGTCCAGCAATCACATGTACAAGAGAAGGCTGAAAAAGCCATGGCTTGGGTCAGACGCACCTTAGTCATAAAAGTGGCATCTTACTTTGCTTTGCTAACACTTTAAAGAGGTGTCACTTGAAAGTGATAACTTACTTGATTTACTATGTTAACATTAGAAAAAAATCTCTTGCAGCAGAAAGGCCCAGTGCAATGCATTATTTTTATTTCTTAAATGCTGCTTTCATTGGCATTAATTATGGATCCAAGTAAAATAAAATCCTTGGCAATTTCGATCTTTTCTCCATTGATCATGTCATTTGCCCAATCTGTGGGGGCTTTGTTTTCTTTATGTTGAGACCTAATCCATAGTGAAAGCTGTAGACTTTGACTTTCCTCAGTCTAAGTGCTTCAAGTCCTCTTCATTTTTAACAAGCAAGGTTGTGTCCTCTGCATATCAAAGGTTGTTAAGGAGATTTCCCCCAATCCTAATGCCATGTTCTTCTTCATACACCCCAACTTCTCAAAGTATTTGCTCAGCATACAAATTGAACAATGCCCCAAGACCCAAACCCACTGATAGTAAGTTGATTCCAACTCACAGCAACCCTATACAGGGTTTCTGGGACTGCCAATCATTTTCATCTTCCACAGATATGTTTGAATAACAGACCTCATGGTAAGCAGTCCAATACTCACCCTGACACACTCCTTTTCTGCTTTTAAGATGCCCAGTACCCCCTTGTTGTTTGACTGATTGCCCCTTGGTCTGATCCATTCAGTTGAATATTGTTGCACAGTCAAGAAAGGGAAACCTTTTTTTCTGGTATTCTCTACTTTCACCGAAGATCCATCTGAAACTGGTAATCGTGTCCTTCATCCCATGTGCTCTTCAGTCCAAATGTCACGCCAAATTCAAGAGAACAGCAGGTAAGTCAATAACATAATCCTATCGTCTAAGTGGTCTTAAGCCGTTTTTGGAGCAAACTGTACTTTGAATGGTGGTAGTTAGTAGGTAGGTTCAGTTACTACCCAAAAGTAAAAAAAGAAAACGTTTTGTTTTTTTTAATTTCAGGAATTCAAATGTTAAAAGTTAGCAAACAGATCCAAATTCCAAGATCTCCTTCAACTTCAGATCTGATTTTATTTTATAAGTCAGCAATACAAAGTTTATGACTCTCTCCCTTCTTGCCCCTTCAAATACTAGAGTTCTGTTTTGGCCAGCTCTTACAAATGTGTATGTAGGAGTTGGTTGAAGAGCAGGAAGGAAGAAGCAAGAAAGTAGGACTGGTACTAAAAGATGACATCACTTCTAAATGTAACTGGACATTTTCTCCACACAGAAAAGAGATACATATTAGTTTTGGAATTGATAATCTTATAATCTCTAAGGCTGGCAAAATAAACTGCTTAAAAGGACAAAATTCCTAGGCCGGGAAAGCCCAGGGGATAAACGGTGCCTTACAGCCGGTAATTTGCCCCAGAGTAGGAACAACTGAATATAATTCTGCTTTTAATGATTAGGATAGTGGTGTTCAGCCAAGTCTCCAAACCCTAGAAGAGGCTGAGAGGTGCTTCAGGGCGGCCACAGTTATGAGGACGGAAGAGGAGCAGGCCGACTTGGTCCTCCCCATCGCCCCCAACCTTTGAAAGTTTGAAACTCCCCACCTCATGTGGGTGATAAAGACTGATGAATCTAAGTAGAAAAATGTTGAAAAGAATCTGTTTCTGAACTGGTGTATTTTGGGATATCAAGTTACAAAACTATATTAACTCACAGAAGTGTACATGTAAATATGGGTTAGAAAAGAAAACTACAGTGGAGCTAAGCATGTCAATTACAAAAGAGTAATTATATCTCAAGTATTCTCAAATCACATTTCTCTAAGAAGTTTTACCTCTGTCATCTACTAGGTTTTTGTACAAGATAAACAGGTTAACCTGAATCTTAGTTTCTTTATCCTTTAATTAGTTATAATCTAAGATAAGATCTACATTCAATGAACATCAGTTATATATTATATACTAAAGTCGGTTAGATTTTGTGGTGAAGTGAAATTTCTTAATTTGACTCTTCTATTCATGTCTCTGTGGAGCTCTGGTGGTATAGTGGTTACACACTGGGCTGCTAAGCACAAGGTCCAAAGTTCAAAACCACAGAGCAGGAGAAAGACGGGGCTTTCTACTCCCATAAAGAGTTACAATCTTAGAAACTCACAGGGGCAGCTCTACCCTGTTCTATAGGGTCGCTATGAGTTGACATCAACTTGATGGCAGTGCGTTTGGTTCTGGTTTATTTGATGGGACTATAGGATGTGTGAAACGTTATTGGATGAGATTGGTCCGTGTTAGTTGTCAGTCCTCTGTGTAGATGAGAATGAGGCAGCAGAAGTCATGCAAGCCAAGCCCAGAAGCAGAGGCAAGGCGATGATCAGACAGAGCAGAGGAGCAGCACTAACTATTAGACTATGAGAAAGAGCAACAGGTAAGCTACCTGGTCTCTTTGAATCAGACAATCATATGGTTTACTAGACTGGCAATGATAAAATCAAGAGAAATGACTGGCTGTGGGACAGACCATCAATTACTTATATGTAAATTCAAGTTGAAGCTGAAGAAAATTAAAACAAGTCCACAAGAACCAAAATATGACCTTGAGTCTATCCTGTCTAAATTTTGAAAACACCTCAAGATTTGATGCATTGAACACTAATGGCAGAAAACCCGAGGAATTGTGGATGACATCAAGAACATCATACATGAAGACTGTAAAAGATCATTAAAAAGACAAGAAAGAAAGAAAAGGTCAAATTGGATGTCAAAAGAGACTCTGACATTTGCTCTTAATCACAGAGTAGTTAAGGCAAATGGAAATAATGATGAAGTAAAAGAAAATACTACAAGTCCATTTCTTCTATGGTCACTCTCTGTGAGTTTCTTGGAGCCTCTAACAGTGCCTCTAACAGATGCTCTGGCAGAGAGCATCCAAAGGGTTACCACCTCTGTGGTCCTTAGGAGCCATTATGAGGAGGGCCCTGGGAAGAATGTGTCATTTCAGTGGAAAACAAGTGGCGATAACGGTTAGTGATGACTGTGTTCTTTGGGTCTGGATTTGCTGCACCTTTCTTTATAATAAGACACCAACTGCCTAAGAAATAAGGATGGTTAAGTTCATCTGTAAAACACATAAGAAGAACATTTTAAGAAGGCTGACCTCTGAAAATTGGATCAAGTTCTGTGGAACTTATAGCATGCTGGTTATGTTTGTAAATAAACTTAAAACATTAAAAATATATATGACAAAGGACAAATCAAGAAGACAAAGTACTATAATGAAATATACCACGTACGTGGGGTCACTATGAGTTAGAACTGACTGGACTGCACCTGACAAACCACTGAAACCATGGCCCAGACAAGCTGACATACAACCTTAACCATAACAATCCCCACTTTAATTTAAAAAGGGGGTGGGGGTGAATCTCTGAAAAGTTAAGTAATTTGCTTAAAATCACATAGCTGATGAGTAGCTCAACTGGGATTGGGACTAAAGTTTGACATTACAGTCTATGATATGAAAAACTATATTAAGTTGCCTTTCTCATCACATAAATAATTGTGTTAAAATCTATACCCACAGGCTGTTATAAGGAGTAAATGAGATAAAGTAGGAGGCTATCATTACAAAATAATGCATTAAGGAATTTTTACCTTCAAGTGGTTCTTGGAGAACATATGCATTTAATTGAACTTCATTCTTAGGCAGGGTCATCTGAACACTCTCACCAGCCGATACTACCAGTTCTTTTACAACTGGAAACAAAGTAAATATATGAGATATGAAATTAGGTCTAAACTGTCCTTTATTTTTCCTTCCTTTTGTAAACTCCTATTACCATCTTTATTTCCTCATTACTTTGGACATTTTGGATCAGATAACTTTTCGTTGTGGAGGGGCTGTACTATGCATGGTAGAATTTTCTGCAGGATCCTTCAGCTGCATTTACTACCTATTAGTAGAATTCATCATTACCACTACAGTTGTAACTACCAAAAACATTTTCAGACATTATCAAATGTCCATTAGGGTGCAAAATAACACACAGACACACTCATCTTCCCCCATTATATAAATCCTATAACACTCAATAAGAATTGTGCATTTGATATGAGACACAGGAACTAGAAGAACTTAAAGCTGGTTGGTCCTCCATATCTCAAGACTGGGAAAGAAGAAAGGCTCGCTACATAAATATGAATCTTGAAATTCACCTATCTCTGCTTTGGAACATTACACTTTTGTCCTTTAGGTAATTGTCAAGACATAAAACGAACTCTATAAAGTGATTTTCAAAAAGAAAGAAAGAAATCCCTACACTCAGTGAAAATATAATGGACAAAAAAATTGGCTATTCAATATGGTACAATCCAAACCCTTCACAATTATACCAGAAACTATAAGCATTTTCCTGAAATATGAAAATTACTCTGGTGTCTTAAGACTGAAACCTAAAGTTTTAAGTTCCACTTAAGGACATCCTAAGAAATTACATTCTGGCAAAAACTCACTTTCACTAATTTTACTACATACACTCTTTTGACTATTTCAGGGAATAAAGATCAACTTAGTTTCTCCAATAAACCATTTTCTCCTAAAACCTTAGAATAGCATCTATGAAGCACAAACTGACTAAAGGAACCCACTATGTGTAAATCTCCTTCGTATGGGTTGCTTTATTTATAAAAATGCGTTCAAAATCACAGAGTGATATATAACTGACCTACCCTAGCATGTCATCAGGCAAATGAGTGCATTGATCCAATTCTTTCTTCCTAGTAGCTTCTGTCTGCTTGATTCTTTGAGCAGTGTTTAATTAACTCTTGTGCCTTTAAGTTTTAAGCAAAGTGGAATCTGGCTCTGGGAAAATGAGTCTCATAAGTTTCTATAGGGTCAGGAGCCTGCTGAAAAAGAGTTTTTGAGCTCCAAGTCCTACGATTATGAGTAATTACAAGATTTTTAAATCTAACTTCCAGTTCCAGTATGTGTCATTTAACATGCATGATTCATTCTGTTAAACAGGATGTTATGAAACTGGATTATGTGGACATATTAAACATTATGGAATCCCACTTCTGGTCACTCTCTCAGTACTGCCACCACTGCTCCCACTGCTAGAACTGCTGAGCGAGGCCAGAGAACCTGGTGAAACTGGGCACAGAGCACGAGGGCTCCTGTTCAACCCACCCGAGTAGCAGAAGCAGCCTGTGCCTGCAACGCTGCTGCCAGTCCTTCAGACAAAACAAAAGAGCTAGCACAGAGCCACATCCTCTGCCTTACCTGCCCGGATCCCATTCATGGTCTAGTACTACAAGAGTCTGGGTTGGAGGCCTTTAAAACCATTCGGAAAATATAATAAACCAAACGAGATCAGCTTTCCCTTTAAGAAAAAACAACAAACTTCTGGGACATTAGATATATTATGTGTTTGGACATTACCCAGAAGGAAGTTAAGGAACATGCACCTGCATTCAAAAATCGTACCTCCCTCCTTCCAGTTCTCTGAAAGGGTACACTTTGATCAAATGGTCCACTTTCCCATACTATTACAAAGGGCAGGAGCACAGGGCTTCACCTGGTGTTGATGTGCTCTGGGAAGAGGCCCGTGGGGTAGGGGTAGCATAATTGTAGGAGGGAGCCACTGGTAGAGAGGTAGCAATCTGGATTTTCACAGGACTTTTTACTTGCTCGGTGCTGGGTGTGGCACTAGGATCTTCTGAAGGCTCAGGCTGAACTGATGCATTCTTTGGCCAATCAGGAATCTCTGCAGTCAGGTCCACAGTCAAGGGACTGGAAATTGTAGCTGCCTTGAGGGCCTAACAAAACAAAAAATAAGTCATTTGAAGCAGGTAAAAGTTACATACTTTGTTTTATGAGGTTACAGTTCATGAAATAATTGCACTTTGAGGCTTTTTGAAAGTGCAAGTGTCTCATAGAATGGGAACAGAGAGAAATACAGAACCTCAAATCCCTCCGCAAAAAGCCGCTCACAGTGGACTAGGTGAGACTGACGGCTCCCTAAGACTATTTCCCTGAGATACACTTTAAACCTTGAACCAAAACTAGCCCCTAAGGGTATTATTTAAGTAAATAACAGATCGGCTCACAAAACATCACAGAATATCACCTGTGAGTACTGTACTCTTTTTACAAACCATCTATATGAAACCAAACAGTCAATGGTTATTTTTGAACCAAGGAGAACATAAGAGCACAGGAAAACAGGACAACTAGTATGGAAATACTGAGAATTATGAGGAGTACAACCAATGTCACTAAGCAATTTACGTAGCCATTGTTGAGTGGGAACCTAAACTGCAGGGTAAATCTTCACCAAAAACACAAAATACCTAAAACAAACAAACAAAGAAAAACCAGGCTAATCTTACCACCCAAAGACAACTGGTGTTAAAATGTTGATATAAATCTTTGCTGTCTTTTTTTTTGGTAAAGCATCTTATAATCATATTACATATAATATTCTCATCATCTTTTCTCAATGTCAAGTGCATTTGTATTCAATCTTTCTACAAATATTTATTGAGCACCTATTATAGAAAACAGATTTTGTAGAACTAAATAATAAGTAAAATAATTATGTGCACCTAACCCACCCAAGGGGAGGGTATTGTTTATATCTCCACAGGGAAAGAGGGACCAGACTTCAACCCAGTGCTCCAAGACGTGAATGCAACATATTGGCATGAAACAGGGAACCATTAGAGAGGTCTGAGGGGCTGGCCCCAATCCCAACTACATGGACAGCCCCCCTGCCCCACAGAAGAATTCACTTCAGAGGACAGCACTGAAGCTACAGCTCAGGGAGAGGGACATGTCTGATCAGAGCACACAGGAGCAAATGAAGGGAGAG